TGGATTTTTGAGGTTTTTAGTTTTCACCGAAGGATACTGCCCATCTTTCTCCCAAAGAGTGGTTGGTGGATTTGAACCTCTGACCTTCTAGCTAACAGTGTAGTATATAACACACCACGCCCCCAGAACTCCTTTAGCCAAGCAGAAAGTCAGTAAAAAAGATTCAGCGAAATGGACTGGCATGGAATCTGCAATAGTGAGTTCAAGTGCCCAGCGACTGCGAGGATGCTGCGGCATCGGCAGCGCTTATTTCTGGTGCAGTCGGGTTGTTCTGAGTCAGAACCAATTCAAAGGTGCCTAATAACAAAAATAACGACACAGAGGGAACCGCGATGCCACAAATGGAATGGTTAAAGGTTCAAGGTTAGCAGTTCAAACCCACCAAGGGATGCTTTGGAAGACTAGCCTGGCATCTGCTCCTAAAAGGTCACATTCTCAAAAGCCCTGTGGGTCGCCCATGAGTCAGAACCGACTAGACAGAGACCGGTGACAAGATCCTGACAGGCCCCGCAAGTTTTACAGCAAAAGCAGAAGTGTTTGTCACGTGACTGTTTCTTCTCACAACCTTGGAGACTAGCCAGGAGCCCAGCATGGGAGCACAGTGACTGTGACGTTCTTCTTTGTTCCTGGACCAGAAATGAATTTGAGTCTACGAAGGGGAAAAGTCAAGGGTGCTAAGTAAATTACACAGAATGTTAAAGTGCACTTAGTTTCCCTCTTGGCTGGGTCATTGGTGAGCACACAAACATGTCTTTCCTTGCCAAGGTTGCTCCCTTGTCTAGTGACTCACTCACCCCAGGGCCAACCAGTTCTCCACCCACAGCCCAGGGAGTCACCGCCTCCCCCCTCCACCACCACCCCCAATCTCCTCCAAAGAGCCATTCCCAGGCTCGGCCACAGAGGGGCAGCACTGAGCCACCTTCAGGAAAACAACGTATTCTGATTTAAAATTCCTTTGACACCAAATCCATCCAATTTGTATGTAGTTGTAAATGGCGTTGGCTAATATCATTAATCCTGAAGATTCAGTATTTGACCATATACATAAATATTTAAGGGATGTAAAAACAGCACAAGGGTAGGAATTATTTCTGATTCCCTTAATTTTTTTTACATATCATACAACAAAAGGTAACTTTTTCAATGTGCTGAGTATATAATCTCGTTTAATACCACCAGCACTCTGTAAGCAGGAAGTGCATTTTGCCCCCTCCGTGCATATGGAGAAGCAGGCATAGAGAGGTTACACAAGTTGCCAAAAGCCACACGTCTTCTCTACTTAGTGAATCAAGAGGCGTTTGAGTCAACCAGGTGGTCTGACATCAGAGCACTTTGCCCTGGAGAAGCATCTTGCCGCAGTCCCTTGACCTTTCCTTCCTCATCTCTGCTTCATGCTCAACACCGCTTTCTTCATTTTTCTTATTTGTGCTAACACTGCCTCACAGCTGGCCACAGTTCATCTCTCTGGTGCTCTCTGGCATTTGTCGAATCTCCCTCCCGTATTTTTTTAAGGGAAAAAGTAAAATGAAGCGAGAACGTTATCTCCCAAAGGGATGGGCCTCCCTCCTTGAAAGGAGATAGGAAGAAAAGGCCTCCATCCTATATTTTTTGAAAGAGTAAAACTCATGTTTTAATAAAAGCAATACATGTTTGTGGCTTTTAAAAATGTAAGCATTATCTCAAAACTTAGCTAATTCTGAGTCATAGTGACCCTGTAGGCTGGAGTAGAACTATCCAGTAGCTTCCAACGCTGTAAATCCTTATGGAAACTGTCTGCATCGTTTTTTGGGTTTTTTTTTCCTGTGGAGCAGTTGATGGATTTGAACCACAAAACTTTGTGTTAGCTTTACAAAATTTAACCCACTGAACCACCAGGGCTCTTTCAAACACCATGCAAGAAAATCTGAAAATTTATCATCTCTTTCCCAGTATGTGGTATTGTGGAGCTAAGAGTTTCTCTCTCAAAATGGCTTTTCTAGTCACTGAACTTGATTCTGTCATGTATATGGGCAGAAAGAATGCAAATAGGGTGTGTTAGCCTATCCACAAAAGGGATTGGCTAGTCTTGCCATTAAATTGAGCTATTCCAGCAGCAGAGAGTGTCTTGACACCAGCAAAGGAGAAGTGGGAATGCAATGAACACTCTTTAGGACCATTCTTGCACCAGCTAGACTTACAGTAGCAGAAACTATGACTGAAGCAGACCTAAAGATCCAACAGGAGATAGATCTGACCTTGTAACTGCTACCCTGCCCCCTCACAGGACTGAAAGCTTTTTAACACTAGCCTTCAGCCCCCGAGGGTCAAGGCTGAGGTCCTATGTGCAAATTTCAGAAGCTGTCCTGTCTTCTATTAACCTGGATTGTAACGTTTTAACTTTTCCAGTATGATTATGTGTGGTCTAAGAGCTATGTCTGACCTCACGGAAATTGGTTTTGTGTTGTTGATGCTGTTGATGGGGAGTTTCCTTTTGTGAAGTCAATGAAAGTTAGCTTTGAGCGTCCCCATGCAGCCCTTGCTCTTTTTACAAGTAGTATGCAGACTGTCTCCAACCCTTACCTTCAGAGGTTTTCATGGTGATGCTGTTTGATACAATCGACTCAAATTCAATTTGCAGCAACTTTGTGTATTAACAGCTCTCAACCCTGTCCGATCCTGTGTGTGCCATCCTCATCTCTGACCCACCTGAGCCCACCCACTGCTGCCGTCACTGTGTCAATCCATCCCGTTGAGGGTCTTCCTCTTTCACTGAACCCTCTCCTCTACCTTTCCAACCTTAATAGTCCTTTTCCAAAGGCCTCTCCCAGCAACAAGCTCAAAGTATTTCCTGAGGTAATCACAGTTGTTACTATTGCTTCCAGCTATTTTTACCTTTACACACACTCACAAATCTCCTTTGGTTACACTCACATGTTGGTGAGTTGCTGAGCAGATTCTGACTACATACAGCAAAATACAGTGTCACCTGTCCTGCTGCCATCTTCACCGTTGTTGATCTGCCCAAGTGCACCTTTTCAAACCCCATCTTCTGAATGTCTTCCAACCTCTGGTGCTCATCTTCCAGCACATCAGGGAACACCTGTTATCTGTGAGGTTTGCTTTGCCCAGTTCTCAGTAGATATTGGGCTTTACCTCCTAGTCTTAGTTCGTAGCACCATCACCAAACTGATGTGGGCTCATCTACCACTCACATATGACCCACTAGCAACTTTTCAGAGGCTGTAAATCACCTTAGACTACCCATCTTTCTCCCTTGGAGCAGCTGATGGGCTTGAACCATCAGGTTTTTGGCTAGCAGCCCGACTCAACCCATAGTGCCACCAGGGCTCGGAAGCAGAGTTGTTAGATGAAATTAAGGTATCTCTAACTCATAATCATATGGTGTGCAACAGACCAAACCAACAGTCCATCCTGCACCATCCTCAGACCACTGCTGCAGCCATTATGCCAACTGAGGGTCTTGCTGTTTCCTTAACCCTCTACTTTGTTGTGTGTGCCAACAAGTCGGAACTGACCCATAGCTCACCCCCTGGCAGGTCTTAAGAGGCAGTTAATCGCGGGTAAGGAGATTGCCCATTCTTTTCCTGACCCTCTACCAGATATATCCTTCTCCAGGAGTTGGCCCTCCTGGTAACATGTCCAATGTAACAGTCTCACCATTCTCGATTCCCAGGGGCATTCTAGCTGCATCATGATACTATGATAAAAAGACTAAAGTTGTCAAAAATTTCACTTTAATTCCATAATCAATCAAGTGTGTATAGGAGCTTTTTACATATATCGGTCCAATCTTTTTCCCTATAGAATTAGGGATCTTGCATTGCCTTTCAATAGTAGAATTCTGTTAATGGCTGCAGAAAAGCCTCTTCTCCAGACCACTTGGTATCATGCATTTTCCTTTTCTGTTCAAAAGCCCCTCATGAAATCTGCTTAAACACAAATGACATTTGAGGGCTAGAGTCTGGACCAGAGAAACATCCATCATCACGCAATGAAAATGGCCACTCTCCCAGAACACAAAACAGGATATATAAACCCAACGGGATATACTATGTTGTTAAATCAGGAACTTAAGGTTATAAAATTCATAATTGATTGACCCATCAGGGAAGTTAAAGGTGAGACCACCAGAAGGGAGATTTGGCTGTGATAGGTCTGTAACACCTAAGTGGGACTGAATTTCTGGTTAAAGGCACATACCCATCCAGTTTCAGATGGCCCCACCAATTTTGTAGTAATCTACTCCTCAATCACGTCACGTTTTGGACATCTGTAATACTGTACCTAAAGACCCCTCAAGCACAAACTACTGTCTTGCACCTAGTTGTCTATGGTCCCGTGAGAATAGGTAATCGGCACAGACCTGAAGGAAGGAATGTTGTCCTTGGCACTCTCGTGGTAGTTTTGCCTTCTGTTAACCAAAACAAAGCATCCAAACTCCATCCACTCTTCTATTAAGATACCATGGCAGCACTAGAGCTCTGATGAATCAGTGATCCAGAAAAGACAGCACAAGTCTCAAGGATGACGGTGCCTTATTTAATTGGTGATTTTTTCAAAATAGTTCTGGGGTTCCGGGCTTTACATGGAAGGCTCTGGACTAGGGAGCTACGCATACCAATCGGTATGCAGGTTAAAATCTACTGGGGCTCCTCCACAGGAGGAAGATCGGCAATCTCTTCTCTTGAGTACAATTTACTGGTATGAAAACCTGGTAGAAGGTCAGCTATGACTCAAAGACACACAAGCCTGCTTTATATAGTGCTACCAACCAAAAGCTCATTCAACTTCACCAGCCACTCTGTAGGATAAAGATGGGCAGTCACCTCCCACTTTTACAGCATCAGAAACCTAATGGTCACCACTTATCAAAGCAGTGAAGCATCAGGAAATTAATTCAACTCTAACACATCCAAATACTTGCAGAAAGTTATGGCCCTAATTAGCACTCATGAGTGCCGTAGTCAAGAAATGTTGCAAGAAGATCAACAGCACTGAAGAGTTCAGGATTTTTTATTGAACATGTTACAAAAGGAGTTTAGTCAAAAAGACCAAATCCCATGTCATCATCAGACTCTTCAGATTCTTCTTTCTTTGCTTCCACTTTCTTCTCCTCAACTAAAAAAAACAAAAACAAAACATGATAAAAATCACATCTCAAGATTTTATGAGGAAGGTACTTTTATGAGGAAAGTACAGGCCCAAACTACCCAATACCAGAGCAATGCTATGGCCTGTAAGATTCCAGTACACCATCTATTTATAGTGAACTTGACTCCATAAGTGGCTCTGGAAGTAGTCCCATCCTTTAAACTGTAAAGCTCAAGCTTCCTACCTGGAGCAGCAGCAGTCGTGGGAGCAGGTCCTCCAGCTGGTGCAGCCCCGGCCGCTGGGGCAGGTCCACCAGCACCCACATTGCAGATGAGGCTCCCAATGTTGACATTTGACAGGGCCTGCAATACACACAGCAAAGTTTCAGCTCTCTTTTTTACAAGGTATACTCCTCTATTTTCAGGACTATACTTCTCTTCCTTCTAGGATAGTCACTTTATCTTGTCTGCTGATGACAAATATGAGGTTGGCTTTCTACAGTCAAGACTGATTTTCCCTTGCAGTTAATATCTAAGCTGGTTCTGCTGTTTGTTGGGCGAGACCAAACTCTAGAAACACTCAAACCAAACAAAGTTCCTGGTTTCCTCCAAGCAATAAGTCATTTCTTGGTTGTTTTGGGGTGTGGCTTTTTTTAATATGCCAAGTTCTTTACTGGTTTCATTTTTTGCATTTAACCTTTAAAGTGACATCTTTGTTCTTTAGCACTTTAGAGAACTCACTGGCAGTAGATTTCCCCAATGCAACAAAACAATTGTTTTTATAACTGCTCCTTCCTAAAGGTCAATGCACAAATTCTGAATGTGCACAATTAACTTTCTGGAACTGTAATTCCTTGCAAAACTTTTCATAATTTGTTATTATCTTGCTGAGTATCTCTGTATAGCCAAGTATCTTTCTAGTATTTTCTGCTTTCTGCAAAGAATCACCAAACAAGCAATGATACTCCTTACTCCACAGCCTCTTTTGAATACTTCTTGAATCTCTTGAAAATTCTTGTCAATATGCTCCATTTTCAATAATCTTCAGCAAGATTTTCCCCGACATGTGATATTAATGTTAAACAATTTTCCATTCTGTTGGATCACTTTTTAAATTTTTTAGATGGACACAAATACGGATCTCTGACAATCTACTCTACTACAATCCCTGGTTTTCAAGTACTCATTATTTTAGAAGAGGATAGATGCCCAGTTCTGCTTTATATACATACAAAAGCTAGGAAAACAAAATTATTGATGCTTGTGAAAAGTAACAAACATTCATAGAATGAAAAAATTAAAAGCCCTAAAGAAATCTATTATGGATAGAGTGCTCCTCAGATTTTGATTTGGGCAGAAACACTTGATACCTAGACAAATCATAGGTGTGTTGAAGGGTATCTAGTTGCTTTAGTTAGAATGTATTTTAAGACTGAATACCCAATAGAATTTTATCTACTATTAGGAAGCTCTCCTGCCATCCTTATTCTGACCAGGCATTTCTGGGTCAAAAGTTGAGGGTATTCCTTTCACTTACCAAAGATTAAAATAACCTGCACAATGGTGGGTAGCTAGTACCAATACACTTGGGGCAGTAAGTAAGTCTGTTATTAGCTTTTTATAAGCTTGATGAAGCAAATGGCCAGACAAAAGTGCTGAAAATCAGAACTGATTCAAGTGTACACATACTCATGGTGGAAAGACATGTCTTAGTGATCTACTGTGAGGAGACATTATTTGGTTACATTTTATTTATCGTCGTTCAAAAGAGGATAAAAGAGATGAACTGCGGGCCCTTTTCTGACACTTGGGTGGAAGCCCCGCCTTTGCATCTCGTAGCCTTACCTTTGCAAACAGCCCAGGCCAGAAAGGTTCAACGTTGACACCGGCTGCCTTAATGAGGGCATTGATTTTATCCTCCTAAAAATGAACAAAATACGCCAGTCTCAGTGAACGTGGATCGGCTTTCATGTCTCCGGTACACGGCAAATGACAAGCCTACTTCGTGCACACTCTCTAAGACTATTCCGAGTAAACACATGGCCGGCCGGGACGAGCTGCCCCGGTCACGCGGCTATTTTTAAGTTACGGGGCAAAGCCCGGGCCTTCCCCGGCCCCCACGGGTCTGCGAAACCACGACCCGAGCCATCCAAGGCCATCAACGCCTGAAAAACACACCAGGAAGCGTGCCGTACAACCCTGCGCTAAAATCAGATGGCCGATTTACAAGATAAACGCTACTAAGTTTCTTAGCGAATAAAGTTTCTCAAAGTTAGAGTACACACACCCCCCAGGAAATCTTAGCTATTCGGGGCTCACCACGTGGGTTCCCACCCCCCGAATCCGCGATCATTACTGTGTCCGGGGAGGAGCCCGCCCGGCCAGACACGTGGGGAGCGGGCCGCCCGCAGGCCGCACCCGCCGCCGGCCCGGGCCTGCACTCACCGTGACTGTCACCTCATCGTCGTGCAGGATGAGGGCCGAGTAGATGCAGGCGAGCTCAGAGACAGAGGCCATGGTACTCTGGTACTAGGCGGAAGGCTGCCGGACGCGGTGCTAGTCGCCGGATGAAGTGAGGGCCTCACCCCAACTCGGCCTTAGCTTCCTCGGAAGGACCGAGCACCTTTGCGGCAACTGAAGAAAGAGATCGGGGCGCCTGCGCGTAGCCTCTTATATGGACCACACAGACCAATCAGCGCCCGCTTCTGGCGGAAGAGGCGGATCGACAACCGCCAGTTAGGACAGCGCAAGGGCACCTGCGCGCAAGACGAGCTGGCTGGCGCGTTCTTACAGTTAGGGAGGGAGGTGCTGGTGGTAACCGGTTACGGTAGCTCTTGTTTTGGTTAACTTTCAGAGTACGCGAACATTACAGATATTTTCTAGGAGCTAGTAACCTAATTAAGTGGATTTTACAAACACACACTGGCTTAACTTTGCCTTTCTGTAACCTCTAACATTTTTTTACAGTAATTACGTCGACCGCCAGTTTTCCAGCAAGAACTGGTGACCTCTGGGAACGGTGAGACCTAAAATTCAAAGCCCCAGTGCTTGCTCAGTTATTAACTACTAATGTCAGTTGTTAGGAGAAGCTTTTCCCTAGGAGGTGACATCATGCTTAGAAAGGTGGAGGGTCAGCGATAGAGAGGAAGAAACTCAAACGAGATACATGATATTGACTGCAACAAGGGGCTCAAGTGTGTCAGAGATATAGGATGAGGATCGCAGGAGACAAGGCAGGGTTCTAGGGTCGCTTATGAGTCGTACTCGACAGCACCCAGCAAGAGAGTTCTGAAGTCAAACCCACTGCCATCAAGTTGTTTCCAATTCTAAATCGAAAGAGGAAGAGTGTCCATCTTTTTCTTAAGGAACTGCTGTGGCCCTTTTGGTTAGAAGCCCAACACATTTACACACTCAGCCACCAAGGCTGGTTGAATAGAAGTAAAGAATAAACGTTCTGTTATAATAGCTTTGACATTTGAAATCCTGCTGTATTATCGAACCACACTGCAAAGATTCACTCCTCACAGCGGAAAAAGTAGATAGTGTTCATTTTGCAAGGGCTTGTTTTCTTGGGAAACTTGCATCCAGTCAGTGCCATTATTTTGTAATTATACTTGATCTAAGTTTATTGGCATCTCCCACTTAAGGGTTCCCTCTTGGACCATTCATGGCTAACAAAAGTAAACATTTTAATACCCCGAAATAGAAGCTTTACGTATAATGCGTTTATAGTGTTTTTTGATTGCCATCGAGTTGAGCATGACTCATAGCGACCATATGAAAAGACCTGAATCCTTTCTATATTTATCATCATTTATCAAAGTTCATAGTCCAGAGGCATGTTGTTTAGGAAGTGATGCCACTCCTGCTTCCTATATATGTGTATAAATTATCCAGGCCATGGTCTTTGTAATTACTTGCTATGTGTCAGAAAGCTGGAGGATGACTAAGGATGACAGAAGAATCTATGCCTTCAAGTTGTGGTTCTGGAGAAGAGTCTTGAACATACCATGGACCACCAAGAAAACAAGTCAGTCTGTCTTGGAGAGGGTGAAACCAAATTTCTCCTTGGAAGCTAGGATTTTGAAGCTCCATCTCACATACTTTGGGCACGGGGCCAGGAGACCAGTCCTTGGAGAAGGACATCATGCTTAGAAGGGTGAAGGGACAGCGCAGGAGAGGAAGACACCCCCCCCCCCCATGAGATAGATTGATACAGTAACTGGGGCAATGGGGATTGGTGTGTTGAAATTAGTGAGATTGGCTCAGGACGGGGCAGGGTTCAGAGCTGCTGTACATAGGGTCACAGCGTGACTCAATGGAACATAACAATGACTATATTATTGTTTATCACTGAGTAGGAACCAACCCACAGCTGACCCCTCCAGTGGGTTTTCCAAGGCAGTAAATCGCACCAGTGAAATATGTAGTATATTGGTGGTAGTCACTTTGAAGAGCAAGTTGGCAAAATGTAATTGAAGATGTTCCTCAACCCACTAATTGCAGTCCTAATTATCATTTTATAACTGAGGGGGCTAGTATATGGCTGTCCCTGGGGTTCCAGACACATAAAGAAAACTGCAATACTGTTAAGAAGTAGGGTCATGGATAAAAATGTGAAATAAAAGAAAGCAGTGACCATGAGATGTATCGATAGGGATGAATCTTGGAAACGAAGTTGCATTTTAAAAGCTGCACAAGGAATCAGATTAGCTGGGCTCCATCTTTTAACTCTGTGACCAGAGTGCTTTGCTTTACTTTGCTTATGCACAGCTCAACTAATGACTGCCCTGTTTCTCTGACTGGCACAGATCAAACGAGGCAATTATCAAAAGGCTGGAAACCAAAGCACTAGATGTTCTAAAGTATGATCTGAACAATCCTGATTTGTAAAACATCAGAAATTAACAAACAAATAACTAGGACTAAGAAAATGTTAGGCTATTGGTGACACAACTAGTACAGCAAAGACATTAAAGAGCTTTGATGTCAGTCTTAGGCTTTAATACCACTTCCATCATTTACAATCTTGAGCAATCAAAACTGACAATTACAGACTGTTGCATCAGGATTGGAAGAGTACATAACCTTCATTATGCAGATAGACAAACTTGCTGAAAACGAGGACTTGACGTATTTGCTGCAAAAAATAAGACTATAGTTTTCAAGTACATCTCAACGTCAAGAAAAAATTCTCACCACTGGACCAATAGACATGACAGATGGAGAAAAGATTGACTGTCAACCACTTCATCTTACTTGGGTCCACAATCAACATCCTTGATTACCAGCATTCAGGGAACTCTTCAAATTAGTAAGGAGCAATGATGTTGGTTTGGGGACTAAGCTGTGCCTGATTCAGTTACTTGCCACACATCTGAGCTGGACAATGAATAAGAATGACAAGAATTGATGTCTGTGAGCTGTGCTGTTGGAAACAGAGTACTGAACAGACTGCCAAAAGAACAGGTGTGTCTTGGTGAAAGTATAGCTGGAGTACTCCTTGGAGGCAAGGATGATGAAGCTTCATCTCATACTTTTTGCATGTTTGTTAGTAGAGGCTATTTTGGAGATGGATATCATATTTGGAAAGGTGAAGGTCCGCAGAAGACAGAGATGGATTAACAGTGAATCCTGCAATGAGCTAAAATATGTCAATGAGGAGGAGGATGGAACAGGATAGGACAGGTTTAGACCTGTTAATAGTTGCAGTGAGTCGTACACAACTCAGTGGCACCTAACAGGGTACCAGATACATACCATTTCATTAACCACAGCTGTCTGTATTTTAGAACTATTTACTTAAGCAAAGCATACATTGTTCATAAATTCCCCTCTTTTTGTTGTTGTCAAATGTCTTGGGGTAGAGAAAACTAGACATTCTCCTGATATCATTTATAGCCTTTCAGAGAGGAAACACAATTGAAGGTCAACTTGAGTCAGTTCTTGACAGCAGTAAGGGGATTTAGTAGATTAAACCATGTTCCTTTAGACAAGGGAGCTCTAGTGCCAGTTTGTAGTTTCTCTGCTGACACAAAGGTGATGCCTTTCTGGAGGTTCGCATCCACTGGCTGCTCCATAGGAGAAAGTTGGACAATCTCCTCCCATGTGATTTACATCCTACAAAAACTCGAGTCACTATGAGTTAGTTCCTATGCCAATTTAAAATTAAAATAATCCAGAAGTAGATTAAATCCGATTGCATCTACTGAAATAAGATTTAACCTTTACAGTAGTGTATAGCATTCTAAAAACTATTAATAGCATTGCTGCTATATTAAATCACTTTTCCTTCATCTCTGTTTTTGACTAATATAATTTTCATCAAAAAGAAAAAGCCTATTTGAAAGACCATTGTTATTGTTACCAAAAAACTGTGGTTCTGCCATTGGAAGAACCAATCTTGGAGGCAGTTTGAAGTGAACAAGGGAGTTTTATTATACACTAGTATGCAGAAGATAGGGGGAAAGCATGTCTCTATCTCCCCATGTTGAAGACTTCTGGGGCTTATGGAGGGGATATACAGGACAGTGGAATAGAAGAACATTTTTCACAGGATCTTCTCTAGTCCACATGTTTGGGCCTAGTAATCATACCCTGGACTAAATGGTCTGAGATTGTCAATGTCTGGCTCTATCCATATGCCATGGCCTACGGTCTGTAGACTACAAGAGTGGACAGGCAGATGTCAACAAAAGGGTTTTGGTTTGATAACAAAATTTTCATTACTGTGCTAGACTAAGAAAAAGCTTTTCCCTTTTAAAATATAAAAGAATGTTACTCTTACATTAATATAGTTACAGAGGTTAGTTTTCTATCATTCCATTAGGTGCAAAAGAATTTTGTTGCTTAAAGTATGAAAGTGTTAGGTTCAAACTATTACAGGGTATTTTATAAAAGGTTTGGTTTTCTATATTTTAGTAGGAAAATAAAAAGTTTAGCTTTTTAAACTCAGGTTTTTTAAAATGCATATGCAAAATTTACAATTTCACCATGCTTTCCAATAGTATATTTTCTAATTTGTGTTAGCCTCAAACTGTTTTTGTCTCAATGTATATTAACTATGTATGTATTACTGTTGTCAAAAGACATCGGCTTGCATATTTTGTAGTGCTTCTCGTTCATCCCACAAACACTGAGTATTAGCTAAATGTAAATAAAGACTATGGTAGGTGCTGAATGACCATGACATAAACATGTATTTCTTAGTGCTTTTAATTTCAACACTTTTGGCATATCTAAATGTCATTAAGTGAAGATATACATATGAAAGTTAAAAGTAACCTCCTAAAATAGTCTTATAATTGGCTGGTCACTGAAATCTTTATTATGAAAGTTTTGAATTGTTAAATATGTCTAAAGTGCATTCTTATAACTAACTGATAGCAGCATTTGTTCTGTTTATAAAACCTGAAAGATATATTCAGACTAGAGTTGGAAAAGTCACAGTAAAAAATAAAATGTGATTGAGATATATTTGTTCTTCCTTAATCACCCAAGACAAACACTTGCATGAATTAGTTTATATGCATACAAGAAATATATAAAAAGGCAGCATTATAAAAAAGTTCATACAATGAGGAAAAAAGGGTCTCTCTCTGCTATTAATATTAAATATGGCAAGGCAGATAATAGTTAAAAAAA